TGCCCTCTTTTTGTCCACCCACCTCAGCACTGCATCTCAAACAGCCATCACGTCTTCTCTAATTCTTAATTGGTAGAGCGGCCGCAGATGTGCCGCTGGCTGTGTCCTCCGGTGATGTACTGCACCATGACTTCACACCCCCATAGGCCTTCACACCATGCTGTGTTATTCACAGTCTGAACCCCATGGTGCCCTTCTGTGCATATAGGACTTTTTAATGTAACCACACTCAAAAAAAAAAAAAACTGTGGCACAACTCCATGGGGAGCCTATTAGCAACTTGACATTGATCTGACATTCTGCTAAGTAATAATTTGTCAAGTTGCGGCTTCTGTTCAAGGTGGACGGTGGAATCGAGGGTGCCTAGCGAGGACCGCCTGTAAAGAAAAGGCTGCACTTGTTCCACTCCATTGCTCTTAATTAGCTCTTAGTCAAAGCCCAATTATGTTACTCAGGCCACTGGCCATTACATTACATTCAGAAGTACAGGCCATATCAGGAAGAAATGTGTTCAGAAGTACAGGCCAATCAGGAAGAAATGTGTTCATGTTGTAATTTAAAGTATATAATTCAAAGTGCTGAAAGACTGAAGTAGAGATTCTTTTTTTTTTTTTTTTACAGGGCTACTTCCCAATACACGCTTTCTCTTTTTCCAGACAGCTTTATTAATTTGATTCCTATAGTAATTTATTTGGGTTTGACAACTGATTTGACATGAATGCAGGAAGAGTGTGAGTTTTTGAGTATGTTTGCATTATTTTCCAGTAAAAGACAATTCTTGTAAACATCCTAATTCAAAAGCGCAATTGTGTAAGGTATTAAGACTTGTTTTTCAGAGAACATATCTTGTTTCTTTTCTGTACCCCTTTTTTCCTGTTTAAAGCATACATCTAAAAATATATATATAGTTAAATTAAACCTTAAAACAAGCAAACAACATTGCTAGGTCATTTCACATGTGGAACCAAACTGTAAATATTTTATATCATGTATAGAAAAAATACCCTGCTTTAATTTAAAATAATATATGTTGATTTAAAAATGTAATACATTTGTATTCAGGAGAAACTTCAGATTTGGGTTGCACGATTTACTATTGTAACCAGTTCAAAGTTGTATTTGTTGTTTGAAGATCCCATGACCAAAGTTGATCACATACATTACTTAATAAAGTCTATTATATTTAAGAAGACTGCATTTATTTAATAAAAAATACAGTAAAAACAGTAATATTGTGAAATATTACTATAATCTAATAACTTTTATATTGTTATAATAGAGATATAATCATAGAAGCAGTAATCCAACGGATGAAGTGTAATTCCTCCTCACGATAAAATAGGCATTCTTCGCATACTCCAAAACTCTCAATGAATGCTCATCGATAATAATAATAAAAACAAACAAACGGGAGAAAGGAGCGGCAGCCAAAACACGCCAGCGTACCCTTCCAACCGGAAATGTACATTTACTGTACATTTACCGGATTACTGTACATTTACCGGATTACTGCTTCTATGATGTGGAATTACGTTTCACTCTTTGGATTACTGCTTTTATCACTGACTGTTCTTCGCTGGAATCACCTCTTCTGCTGTCCCTCCCAGGATTGGCACCACTGTGAAGTCCCGGCTGGTGTGGACTTCTCCAACATGGCCCTAAGGTACACTGTTCGCCAACTGTCGAATCGTAAGGGTAACTTTTATCTGGCGAATGACACATACACTCTCTGCAGTCATGCTGGAATACTACGACCGACGCGTTATATCGCTCTTCAAGACGCAGCTTTTCCTTCTCAGCTGTTACTACTGTTGCTTGTCCTGCATTTCTGCGCAAATCTCAAACGCTGTTGTGTAGGCCTAGGGGGGTTAATTCCAACAACTTGTCGTTTCCCAAGCGCGTAGTTGCTTCTCTGGTTTCAACTGCTCCTCGTCTGGTGAACTCGGCGCTTTTCAATACACGATCTGTCAATAACAAGGCTATGATACTATCTGACATTATTACAGAACGTAAACTGGATCTTGTGTGTTTAACGGAAACCTGGCACAAAGAGTCAGATGGTGTTCTTTTTAATGAACTTACTCCTGCTGGATATGGCTTATTTGATCTCCCGCGGTCCTCTGGAAGAGGTGGGGGCATTATTGGGCTATATAATAACCAACTCAGCTTGAGTCCTGTGGTTGTTCCACAGTTTAACTCATTTGAATGTCTTGTTTTGAGTGTATCTGCCCACATTTCCACTGCCATAGCTACAGTCTACAGGCCTCCTAAGAAAAATAAAGACTTTCTATCTGAATTTGCAGATATGTTGTCCTTGCTATGCCTCAAATTTGAGAGAACTTTTATTTTGGGGGACTTTAACATCCATCTGGACAAAAAAGATTCCACAACAACAAAAGAATTTTTATCTTTATTGGAGTGCTTCGATTTGAACCAGCTCGTGGACTGTCCTACACATAATAAAGGCCATACTCTTGATTAGGTGATTTTAAACGGCTCATTTGTGTCACAGTTGTACACCTCTGACTTGGGGCTGTCTGATCATCTGTCTATCTTTTTTATTATGGAACTGCCTGATATAAACACTACCTCTTCTCGCATTATTAACTATCGCAAATGGAGATCGATTAAACCCTCTGAATTCTCAGATTTTATTGGTTCTTCCTTGAGCGCATTTTCTTCATCTGATGCACTGGAGGACAAAGTTCTCATGTTAAACTCTGTTCTCTCGTCTGGCCTGGACTTATTTGCGCCTTTGAAATCACGTCTGGTTTCTTTTGGTCGACCCTCTCCTTGGTACAATGAAAACCTGCGTGCTATGAAGACATCCTGTCGCACAATGGAGCGTAGGTGGCGTATGTCCGGCTTGACTGTCTTTCACCAGGCTTGGAAAGATCACTTACTTGAATATAAGACCCAAATTGCATCGGCCAGATCTGCTTATTTTGCACAGATAATCGATAACAATCAGAACCACCGAAGACAATTGTTTTATTCTATTAACAAACTTCTTAAATGTTACAGTTATTTGACTGCTCCAGCTTCGACGCACCTCTGTAATAGGTTTCTTGATTTTTTTTTAGCTCAAAGATTGATAACCTCCGTAAATGTATCATTTCTACTCTTCCTTCATCTTTTTCTCACACAATCACTGCTGAATTTTCTGGTACCCCTCTATCAAATTTTTCCATATTGGACATTCATTCTCTTTGTAATGAAGTTTCAAAAATGAAAGCTGCCACTTTCAGCAGCAAGACGGAAGTAATGCTCATTGGTTCACCTCACCAGCTACGGAAGGCTGGTTCCCCCACTTTTAGTGAAGAAGGTTCTACACTTAATTTTCAGACTAAATTAAAAAATCTGGGGGTTATATTTGATAATAATTTGACATTTGTTCCTCATGTTCAGAGCACGGTCAGGACATCATTTTTTCATCTAAAAAATATAGCCAGATTGCGTCCTATGTTGTCACTCCCAGTGGCTTTTTTCTTGTATTGATTACTTTTTTCCCAGTGGTATTTTCTCGTATTGATTACTGTAATGCTCTGTTGGCTGGGGTTTCAAAAGCTACCATAAACAAACTACAGTTGGTACAAAATTCTGCCGCTCGAATTCTATCTGGAAACAGGACAAGGGACCATATTAGTCCGGTACTTGAATCTTTACACTGGCTCCCTGTCAGATTCCGTGTTGATTTTAAAATCTTAATGCTTACTTATAAGGCCTTGCATGGACTGACACCTCATTATCTAACTGAACTTTTAACACCCTACACACCAGCACGTGATCTCCGCTCTTTGGAAGCTGGCCTTTTAATTGTTCCGCATACCCGACTAAAAACCATGGGTGATAGGGCCTTCTCGTCGAATGCTCCAAAACTTTGGAATTCCCTGCCTATTGAGATTAGGCATTGAGATTAAAACATCACTTAAAACTTATTTGTTTAGGGTAGTTTTTACATAATTGTTTATAATTGTCTTATTATTATTATTATTAATCCTATATTTTCATAATGTTTTATTTTTTTTGTATTTTATTACGTTTTTCTGTCAGAAATGCATAGTTTGTTTAATTGTATGTTTTATGTTTTTATTCTTGTGAAGCGCTTTGAGATACTTTTTAAAGGCGCTATATAAAATAAAGTTTATTATTATTATTATTATATATTCAAAAATATTTTATAATATATCTTTTTTTCCTCTGATGGCAAAGTTGAATTTTCAGCAGCTATCAATCCAGTCTACAGTCACATGATCCTTCAGAATTCATAATAATATGCTGATTTTAAGAAAAATTACATATTATCACTGATTAAAACAGTTGTGCTGCTTAATATTTTTGTGGATTCTTTTTTCCAGGATCCTTTGATGAATAGAAAGTTCAAAAGAACGGAAATAGTATAAATGTCTTTATTTTCACTTTTGATCAATGTAATGCTTCCTTGCTGAATAGAAGTGTTAATAAGTAAATGTATCTGGTGGACAGTTTAAATATTTTACTGGAATAAGACAAGAGCACTGATAAAGAAAATGACTTTCCTCCGCATCCACATTGCGTTCTGAGAGCGAATGGCACCTCAGAGCGCCACTGCACCAAACTTCAGGGACTAAAGTTCAACCAAAGTAGCAACTCTCAGCTCTTGGGCACCTACACCAAAAGAGCACTTAGCAGCTGTCAGACAAAGTGCTACAACACTGAAAATGGTGCGTCAGTAGGCAATTTTACAACGTGTAATGGTCCTTCTGTTCGGTCATTGTTGTGTTTAAGGGTCTATTACAGACCAGAGCGATCGATTGACGGCTGTATCCATTTCTGCCGAGCTGTCCTGAAGCTTATGCTAAACGTTCATCTAATCTGTAAATGTCTGCATATACAGTTTTATAATTTTGGCTTAGAAGCAATGACACCGCTGTCAGTGCAATGTCATGTTCCTCACATCTCTTTTATTTTTCTGTCTTCTTTTCTCCTATTTTTGCTCTTCCCTAATTGAAATGACAAAGGTGAGCCGGATCAATACAGTGGTGAGTCGTAAACGGGAGCAGCGTGTGCTCTTCATGGTGGTCACCATGGTGGTGTGTTACCTGCTCTGTTGGCTGCCCTACGGGATTATGGCCCTGCTAGCCACGTTTGGGCGGCCCGGCCTGGTCACACCAGCGGCCAGCATTGTTCCTTCTCTGTTAGCCAAGACCAGCACCGTCATAAACCCCATCATCTACATCTTCATGAACAAACAGGTGGGTAACCGAAAAGCTACTAATCAGTAATCTGCTATTTTTGCTATAACTTCATTGGACGGCTGTGATATGAATATTACATGATGTTATATTTGCATCCACGTTCAGCACATACTATAAGAATTTGAACGCTGGGTCACTTAAAAATGGATGAATGTCATTGCAAAGAAAGAAAACACTTTAATGCTAAACATTTTACAAAAAGTGTTAAGCTAAAAATGACCTTAAATGCTTGCAAAAATGACCCATTCACACCAAGAACAATAACTATGAAGATATCCATAATGATAACTTAATAAGCGTCCACCAACAAACGATAACGCCCTGTTCATTCTATGTGCGCCCAATGTTTATATCGTTCATCACCTGGACTCTGTTATTATTTTGTGTTTAGAACGATTTTTAGAACTTTATATTTATCATTATTGTTATTTATCGTCCTTGTGTGAAGGGCCTTACAGTAATAACAGTTTTGAGAAAAGTTTTAACACCATTTGTTTGCATCATTCATTTAGTTGCTATTTTGTAAGCCAATCCATTGTAATTAATGTGAAGAATGACTTAACTCACTATATGCTTTTGATGCTACTGTGTTTTGTAATAAGCACATGTTATTCTTTGCTATTTTTAGTCTTTAACAGTTTTTCTTTAAAATAACACACTGACCGCAGGATCACTTGAGTTGAGGGTTTTCAGTTTGGGTGTCATTCCCAAAAGAACATGATCAACACCTCATTTTAGTATGCATTTAACAGCACAGATCACACAAGCTTAGTTAATGTCATTCTTTGTCCAAGTCCAAACCGCCTTTGAATGTGAAATATAGGAATGTGTTTTGCCTGTGAACTTATTTTTGTCCAAAACGTGGGCTGAAAAAAAAAAATGAAAAGGCAAAATTGTATGATTGTCAGGGTAGCTTAAGTTAAACTACAGCTCCATAAAAATAAAAGTCCACTAAGTTCCTCGACAAGTCATTATTGATTAAATTATAACCTGTTATGGGTTGTGTATTGAAAAAATAGGCTGTCATACAAAGACCATATGATTTAAACTGTACCATTTGAAAGTTTCATTAAGCTGTAATATTAATATCAGGTTCTCAGGTTCAGTTTTTCATTGGGGACAAAAAGTGAACAAGGAAACTGAATAAGGATGTTTTTTTTTTTTTTACTGGTTTTGAATTGTATTCTGTTAATAACCTCTAATCTCTCTTTCTGCTCATCTTTTTCCTCTCCTACTCTGCACTGTAAATACTTAGCCGTATTTGAGGGCAAAAACTGAAGGCAACAGTTTGCAGTTTTTTATTAGTTTAAATGATCTTCTTATTTTATGAAAATATACTAAATGAACTTAAAAGGTCATGTTTCCACAAACTAAAATTATATATTGAGATTTAATAAAAGGCCAAACAATGCAACCATATTGATTATCCCAGCTCCAGTGAATGCTGGAAAGAGGGAAAATGAGACTGAATCATAAAACCAATTTCTTTTTAATATATATCATTGTACTTGAGCTAAAAAAAAAATCATTAATCCAACTAATCTGACAAGTTTCTCAGAAAATCTGAATATATTGTAATAGAAAAGCTGCTTTTAGATACTTAGTTAGCAAACAGCAAACTTTTTTTTTTCCAGTGTTATTTACTTTATCTTTGGATTATATTTTACAGTGTGCATTCTCCTGTAAAGCTGTTCAAATCCATCCCATGTAGCTTTGCCTGGTTTGTATTCCATTTGAATTTTCATTCTAGTTTATGGCTGGACAAAAAATGAAACTGCAAATAGGTATGCTAGTCTTTGGAAGAATGTACAAACCATTTGAGCAAATAAACTTTCAATGCTCTAGTTTGTGATCAAGGATTGTATCCGAGTATATTCAGCGAAAGTAGTAGAAAGTTTTCAAAGAAACTTTTCATTCAAAGAAGCACTTCTTATATGATCAAACTGATACAAGATGCACATTTTATTGTTATTTCTGAACTTGTGTACATATGAACAGGTTTTGTATTATCTCTTCTGTATGGGTTTAAGCTTCTTCTCCAAACAATTGCTTGTGATAAGACCAGAGATGAAGACTTGGAGAAACTAGTTTTGACTGTCGGAGGAGACGCCAGTCACCTGTATGTCATTTTCAGTCTTCAATTCCTCCCAGCCCGTAACCATGGAAACTGTGAGTTGAGGCGAGTTGAAGACTTAAAGTGCTGTACAGATTCAAGTATCTACTCGGCATGTGTCGATATGACCACCGGAGATTGAAAGACAGCAGAAAATGGAAGAGTATGGAAAAAGAGTGAGTTTTGGAGAGCGAGAGAGCTGCAAAGTCCCTGAGCCCGTGAGTAAATAACTGTACTGTTATACCGCCCTGGTTCAGGAGCTGTCATGCTGTGTGGTAATTGCATTCACTGCTTCCTCTTTCCTGGGATGCTAAGAATTTTCTTGCACATGTCACATTTTCTCCCTTATTAAGAGCACAATGTGTGCTTAGGGGAAGCATCAGTGCGCTGAAAAAACTCCCTTGTTCATTAATTGGCTATAAGAATCACAAGCACATGTAAATTGCACTGCAAAAAAGAAATTTTCGCAATATTTTCGTCTTGGCGTCCATTGAAAACTTCCTTAAAGGGATAGTTCACCCAAAAATGAAAGTTATCCCATGATTTACTCACCCTCAAGCCATCCTAACACAATCTGAGATATATTTTAAAATATCCTGGCTCTTGCACGCTTTATAATGGAAGTGAATGGGGGTGAGTTCTCGAAGCCCCAAAAAATGCACCCATCCATCATAAAAGTAATCCATACGTCTCCATGGGGTTAATAAAGGCCTTCTGAAACGAAGCGATGCATTTGTGTAAGAAAAAAATCCATATTTAAAACTTTATTAGCTATAATAACTAGCTTCCGGCAGATGACTGTATGGCACAAGTTCACTTTTTTGTTGGGTTGGGTTGGGTTTTTGTAAGAAAAATATCCATATTTACAACTTAATTAGCTATACGATACTCCGACATCTTATCTTAGGTCATACATTGTGTCAGGGATTACTCTTGTGACATAGGATGTCGGAGTATCGTATAGCTAATAAAGTTGTAAATATGGATATTTTTCTTACAAAAACCCATCGCTTCGTCCCCCCCCCCCCCCCCCCCCCATTCACTACCATTATAAAGCTTAAAAGCCAGGATATTTTTAAATATAACTCCGATTTTGTTTGTCTTAAAGAAGATAGTAATATACACCTTGGATGGCTTGAGGGTGAGTAAATCATGGTATAATTTTCATTTTTTGGTGAACTATCCCTTTAAAGCTATATATATTTGTGGTCACACTTTAGATTAGGGTCCAATTCTCGCTATTCTCACTATGGATTAAAGGATGTCGATTATGATCATGCAGAATAAGGCATTGATATGTGCTTTATAAGTACTAATAAACAGCCAATATCCTAGTAATATGATAATAAGCACCTAGTTAATAGTGAGAATAGAACCCTAAACTGAAGTGTTACCACATTTTCTTGAGAAGCAAAACTGTTTATTATAATATGTGGAAATACCTGGGATTAAGTTTATTTGTTTTACCACTTTGGCAGATTAAAAAAAAAAAATTCAATCATGACAACTCTCTGAATAGTTGGCGATCTCTGAATATAAATCTATATGGCGAAATTAATGTATTTGGTCTTGGCGGATTAGATTTGCTACACTGTTGCTGCTGCTGTTGTATGGACTTGCCACTGCTATAGATACACAGACATACTGCTGTGAGCATGTTGCTGCATAAATAGACATACATAAATCCTGTTGCAGATCTAGACAGGTGGAGCTGGGGGAGGAGGAGGATTTTAGAGGAACTCTGACTCTAGCTCGTTGCAGGACTAGCTTACAGAACTACCAGACTATTTAAATGTTGAGCAAGCAATCTCATTGGCTACAGGATCAGCAGAGGCCAATCAGCTTGTGCCATGCGGTAATGATGTGATTGCTTGCAGATTGCATGTAAAGGGCCTATCAGCCTGCGCCCTCTAGAGTTTTGATGATTGAACTAGATTTATTTATTTATTTACTCACTCACTTACTTACTTACTTATTTATATTTCATTGTTTTTATAAATATAACAAACATTTGTGAGGTTTATGCTTAAAACAAGAAACCCAACTGGCAAATTAAAAAAATTATAATAATTCAAGACATTCTCTAAAAACAAATCTTACAACTTTTTTCTTCTCTGGTAAGAGTATATTTTTATGATAAATGTATGTTTTATTGCAAAACAAGACTATATATAAGTAAAATAATATATTGCTGTAAAAGTGACTTCAAATAGACCTATTATTGCACACTATGTAAGAGACAATGAGACAAACAAAACTGATGCCCACTTCCAAAGTAAGAGCTTTCCAGAGAGACAGGCAGTTCATCCAAGCACTGGGATCAGTTATTCCGGACCACCTGTGATCAGGTGTAGCATAATTGGCGAGGAAGTTCTGTCCTTCTCTCCCAAGCTTCTCAGCACCCCGCAGAGAGCCAATCATCTCCTTTCCAGACCATCATCTGCTCAAAAGTCTGCTACCCACCCAGCACTCCTCTTTGATCCGGATTGTACCCGGCTACCCCGGCCAAAAGAGCATGCACTTATCCAGCATGAGTATACACAGCAATTATTGCTCATTATCTGCCAGAGGTGAGAAAGAACTGCTTAAGTCAAGTTCAGACTTTTACGAAAATTGCAAAGAAATTGTTTTTTTCTCACGCTTCAGTTTGAATTTTTACACTTGGAATTATCAGATTATCAGATCATGGGGAACATAAAGTACAGGTAAAGGTGTTATTGCAAGCTCTGCTGATGTCTGCAAAATTTGAAGGCCGATCATTCACAAAGTTCTACATGTCCTCCATCGCTTGCTAGTTTATGTATAAAATATTTAGGCAAATTTTATGAAAGCTTTTAGCTCACAATAAGAGTGTAGTAGCTCCAATGATCCTGAAAAACTAACAAAGTTCTGAAATCTTTTTTTTTTTTTTGTCTTTGACTTACATCCTTAAAGGACTTTTCTGTGTTTTGCCTATAAGTTAAGCTCTATTGAGTAATTAAAGCAAACACTGCCGTCATCCAAAATTTGCAACTTGTCTGTGCATTTACATTAATTCATCCAAAATATTTATTATTTGAGCTGTAAATAATGTCTAAATCATTTTTGTGAGAAATGAACTAGTTATTAGTCTGTGTGTGTGTGTGTGTGTGTGTGTGTGTGTGTGTGTGTGTGTGTGTGTGTGTGTGTGTGTGTGTGTGTGTGTGTGTGTGTGTGTGTGTGTGTGTGTGTGTGTGTGTGTGTGTGTGTGTGTGTGTGTGTGTGTTTGAGAGAGCGACTATCTGTGTTGTTTTTAAGATTAGTCATTTATGTAGTTGTCATTTGATTTATCACTTTATTATTATATATTAGTCATGTTATGTTTTTATATTACTTATTATTTTACTTATTTTGTTGCTCTTGCAATGCTTCCCAATGCTTGCTATTTAATTGTGTGATTGTATGGTTTCAAGAGATATTTGTTTTCATGAGTAAGAGATCATGTTTCCATTTCAAGATTTTTAACGTTACAGGACGAGGTTGCGAAGCAGTAATTTTCCATTGTTTTTGCTGTGGTATAATAATTTGTACTAGTCAGATGAAGTCTGAGCATTTAAAACAGTATGGGCATTACGATTATTCAATAAACTGTTCTTTTTATTATCATCACTTCGTCTCCTGATTCTGCTCTTCCCTGGCTTTCTCAATCTTCTGGCAGGGTTTCGTTATCCTGGGTCGGATCAAATGCTGCAAATCACTATTCTGACGTTGAGATCCATCCGATCTAACAGCCCCATGTACTTCCATTGTAGATGCCTTACTATAACTATGGGAAGAGTCACAAGTATTTTCTTTGGTAATCAACATTTTGCCACAAATGCTGGCAATGGAGTTTAATTTGTTTTAAACCAGGAACATTACTTATGAACGAAAATTGCACACACATAATCAACAAAATTAATGTCATCTAATCCTTGTAAAATCAATGTGCCATATGCGCTAAATCTGATTCCGGTTGAAACACCCGCAGGCAGATAGTTGTGTTAACTGTCTTACAGCATGTCCAGATGCAAAGCCACCTTCGCCATCTCTGCGGGGTTCACCAGACCTCCTGCCAGCTCCTGTAATGAGTGTGTGGATCTGAATCCATTTATAGACTCGTTCCTCCCACCTTAGACTCATCACATTCCTCACCTGCTCGCTCGCCCCCAAAAAAGCTGCACACCTGCAACGGCTGACAGCAACATGACCAATTTTCAGATTCATTACATTATAGGTCATCCATGTAAGTAGAAAACATTAAGGACATGTATGTCTACTAGCTGTGGATATCTGGTGGAGGCATGAAGAGTGTTTTGGGAGGACTATCAGTGAGTGTCAGGGTCATGCATGATTGCTTTCCATCAGCACTAACAGAACACTGAATGCCCATTAACAGGCTCACTGAAGTCAGATGTCTTGGGAAAAGTGTGTATCTGCAGTCTGCCATTAACCGTGACCCCTTGACCCAAATCTAACCCCCTGCAGAGGTCTGTCTCTGACTATCTCTTTTTGTTGTCATTCTGTTTCAAAGGCACTGATTGAGTATCAAAAAAGCATTTATGTTTTAATACATCAGCAATGTTTCAAGTATATAACATACAAAGAGACTAAACTGACAAAACATGACGGTTCTGCATCTTCTGAGGAAATGTAGTAGACTATAAGTATACAGTGAACTTGGACGTATACTAAGTACACTACGTTTTCTCAAGGGGTGAAATCTCGCTCTGTGTTTTGTGGATTATGTTACTTTAAACTCTGCAGAAAAAGTTTTTTTTACAAGATGTAATTGAGTATTTCTGGGTCAAAAAAGTATTTACAATAATATATATTGTTCAATAACATATATGGAAATACTTCACAATTACATTTTTCTTGTTCATTTTATGTCATAATGTTTCTGTGTTTGTCAAACGTCTTAAACTTTCTGTTTATTTCCAGGTTGAAACTCGATTTTTGAATCCCAGTTTTTCAATGTTTTTCAAAAGCCACTGTTCCAGAAACAAGGAGGATTTTAAAGGGCGGATTAGTTCCACTCTCCTGAGGGAACAATTCATGACTAGCCATTCATCTACTCAACACTTGCATGAAATCTTTTTGCAATCTGAAGGTGGTATAGAGTCATGGCCACACAAACATTTCCTCATTTTATTCTGCTGTAAATGGGTGTTCTTGGAGCAAAATATTTTGCTTTGACATTGTTTTAAGGTTAAAATAAGTGTTTCTGTTACAGAAATTGAATTGCTGAACCTTTGTGACCAATACTTGCACCTCTGCATTTTAGTATTCATAAAACTCTCTTCAAAGGTTTGGCTGAATTTGTCAATTTAATGGTGAAGGTTGTTTTGTGAGGATGTGGTAAATCTCTCACACACATCAACAGAACACCTTCTCTTGGAAAATGTGTTTTTTTCTCCTCTGAGACCTCTGAGACAGTTATGATTAATTGCAATAAACCTTTATCTATAATGAAAAGTGCAGCGTAAGAACACAGAGCTAGCTTTGCTTCCATCTTTGGCGACCTGATGGTCAAAGCCTCCAGGCTGTTTCTTCTGAGTGTGTGATCCGTGTGTGTAGGGATGTAGAGGTATACACAGATGCTCAGCAAGGGATTGGCACCTTAAATCAGGCATCTCTATCATTCTCAGATAATCACTGCCTATACACTCCTGCCGAGAGGTCCTACCTCTGCTAATGAATTTTGTGCATAGAGAGCTTTCAATTTGCACACAACCCTGTACACATTAGAGGAGACATAGCATCAGCTGTTGTCACAGGGCTGATGATTCCCACGTTGCTATTTTATTATTCCTGCTGTCTGTACAGTTGCAAATCCAGCAGAGAACGGGAGAAATGAGCTTGTGCAATAAAGTGAACATTCAGGCATTGTCTTGTTTGTCTTTTGACTGATAATGTGAATTTCCTTCTCTTAAAGAGGAAACTCATGTTGTTCCAAACCTGTTTGACATTCTTCTGTGGATCACAAAAGAAGATATTTTAAAGAAAGCTTAGTATTTGCCCATACAATAAACGTAGGGTCCAAAACAACATTGACTCCATTGACAAAAAACAAAACAACTAAAGGCCAGTTCACTCCAAGGACAACAACTATAATGAGAATTATTAAGATCACAAAAGAAGATATTTGAAAGAGAATTTCAGTGGTTTTTGCTAATAGAATGAAAGTCATTGGGGTCGAAAACAACATTGGACTTTCATTGTATGGACAAAAAACACTAAATGCCGGTTTACCAAGGACAATAACTATAATGAAAACTATAATTAGTTTTAATAACAGAATGTTATTGTCCTTTGGTGTGGATCCTTAAATAGTTATCATTCTTAGTGTGAACAGGCATTTTCCACAAAAGAAAGAAAATCCAGGTTTGGAATTAAATGAGGGTTAGTAAAAAAATAGCAAAATGTTCTTTTTTGTGTGTGAGCTATCCCTTTAAGGATTAGAAATGTAATCCCTGCTCTCTCAATCTTTGTGTGTCAGTTTTGCAGATGTTTCCATGCGCTCGTCATGTGCACCACCCCAGAGAGAGGCTCCAGCTTTAAAAACTCCTCCAAAGTCACCAAAACTCTCAGGACAGTGCGACGCGCCAATGGCCAGAATGTGACCTTCGCTGTGGCCTCGGCTGGCCATCCTACTATTTGTGCCCCACACAGCGGGGGGCAGAAAAGTTCCTCCGAGGGTGAGAAGCCCTCTCCTGCGGGCCAGCGCACCAACAGACCTGTTGTCTCTCTTGTGGCCTATTACAATGGTTGAGCTCATACAGTCAGGCCAAACCAACACTAATACAGTGGAATTACAGGTGACGGAGGTCACGGATTGCGTAAAAAGAAAAGAGAATTGATAAGTGGTGTGTCTTGGTATATGGAACTAGGACATGCCCCTCACTGACAATCATGTCATGTTGCATGTATGATCTTTCTGGGGGAACAAAACTAAGAATGGATATTTAGTGAACAGCTGGAGAAAGACTTTGGGAGAAAGTCTCAGATTCTCCATTTCTTTCTCTTGGAGAAAGAAATGACTTCTCTAGAACAAGTAGGAAACATGCACATGGATCTAATTGTTAATTTAGTTGATGTTTCTTCAGTCCAGGATGTAAATGTGCTCTCAGATTTTGGTGAAGTGAAACTGATGAGCCTGTTTGTTTCTGATGTTTTACTTTAACAAGGGCACGCTTTCACTACCAGTTCCTTCCCGTGGTTGGACAACAAGACTAGCACAGATTGTTTAAAGAGATACTTTTCTTACTCTTGTAATTCTGCTCATTGTGTGGAAATGTACAAGTAAGCACATGATGCTCTGTTTGTTAAGGGATATATGTTGCTGAAATTTAAAGGGGTCATATCATTTTCCTTGATCTTTTGAAATACAGTAATAGAGTCTCAAAACTTCCTCCTTAATCCAAAAAGAGCATCTGTTTAAAGCTGCAGTCCGTAGCTTTTTTTGGGTTAAAAATGATTCAAAATACATATTTGAGAAAATACATAACCAGCCAGTGTTCAAAACTATCTGCTTGCCTTAGCTCGATTCAAAACGGTAAGCTTGTAATAATGTTTTTAATTCCAGTGGTACTGGTGGATTTCCGCGGGAGATTCGAGCATGTCTTTGCGTCATTACGACACATCTGTACACACACATCTGTACACATAAAGAAGAGTCTCGGCAGGCTATGAGTGTGAGGATGTTGGAGGTGGAGATTTATAGCCTTTTCTCACAGCACTTGATATAATTAAACTTATCAATTTGATGGCGGATCCAGAAAGGTTCAAACGACAATCACCAGTGACAACTAGAGATTCACCCGATGTAAAATGCAAAAGACGTTCGGACTTCGGAGTGGCTACAGAAAAAAAGAGACTGCAACCGGACCCATGCGAAAACAAGGATAGTATCGGATGGACATTACATGTAGTCACGCAACGCAATGCTGACGTTGTTAACATTAACAAGTTGAGAAGAAAGTATAATTTGCACGGTTTTGCGTGATATGATAAGCGATTGTTAGATTTAATCAGCGCGATTTACTGCAATGTCAGAACCAGAACAAAAGTGGATGTTACTTACTTGTTCAGATGAAATTTTCCGGTGAAAATTATTATGTTGGTCATACTTCCAAAAAGAATAATCTGTGATGTCTGAATGCTTATCCACACCAGCACGGTGACTGACAGCCTCACAGTCTAACTCATGTAAAGTTGATAATTCCGCGAATGACTGCAATTGCAGATTTCGAACAGAGATGGCGACAAAGAGGAAAAACTGCGGACTGCAGCTTTAATCTTGAACATTCTGAAGCCATTCTACTATTAAAATTCCAAATACATTTAACACGTCCACATTTACACATCATAATTAATTTTTATTGATGCGTGTTTAAAGACACCTAATGGAAGTTGCGATAGGCTTTTTCTTCCCTATTTTGACGTATTATCCAAGTGAAACTGTGACAGGTTATCCCGTCCTCACTCCGTAACCACGTCACCAGAGAAGAGAAGAGATGTTGAGTTATTTTAATTAAAGATTACATGAGCACATGAATTAAAAACAAAATAAAAATAATGATGTGCACAGATAAATCTTTTTTTTTTTTTTTTTACTGCAATATTCCATTAAAAAAAGTTTAAGTTTAATGAAACTTAACCCTGATTGCATCAGTCAGTTCACGCAACTCATTTAAAGGGATAGTTCACCCCAAAAATGTTTTTTTTTTTTTATCATTTACTCACCCTCATGTCGTACCAAACCTCTAAGACTTTTGTTCATCTTCGGAACACAAATGAACGACATTAAAGGTGAGTAAAGGATGAAAGAATTAAACTTTTTGGGTGAACTATCCCTTTAAGATGGATTTGCTCTATGATAATCCTCAAAATGTTAGAAAACACTGAGGTATAAGAAACCTTGACTATCATTATTAATGGACCTCAGGGAAAAGTGTTAAAAATGTATCATTTATGATCCCTTTAAAATTAAAATGCAATAGTCTACATGAAATACACTTTTACTAATAAATATTTATATGTAAGCTCTGAAGTTCTATTTTAGCCCTCTGTCTATTTGAACAGTTATTGTGTAACATGTAAAACTGCTTAGCAATTGAAAACAGTTCGAGAATAGTTCTCCGTAGCCTTGCCAGTATTCCAGGTTTAAATGAGCAATTCATTCATTGTATATTCACAATTTTCTCGGCATGTTATGTGAAATTGGCGGCAAGCACCCATCCCATTAAATCTCTTCATCGTTCTGTTTACCAATACACAAGAATAATAATTAAACACCAAAAAGCTTTCATAAACCATAATGTATTGTAAAGCGATGCCTTGAAGCCAAAACATGCAACAGAAACTGTCAACAACTTATTTACAGTTTTTAATCATATAGAGCATTTCATATGTTTTCATTAGCATTCATATGTTTTGATTCTGGTTAGGTTTTGTAATCTATATTTAAATTTGTTTAGCATTAAAGGGACAGGCTTCTCAGCGATGAGCGGGCTGTTAAATCCTCAAGACTTGAACAATGTGGGATTGGCCCATGCAAGAGTCCCAAGTGGGGATGTGACTGTTCTAATCAGCTGATCTGCATTTACAAATGCAGCAACATTCACAATCGGACAAGAGAAATATTATAAGAGAAATAAATCACATGTAGCTAAGATTTTGAACTCTGAAGCAGATTTGAAAGATGTAGATATTTTTTTACGACTTCTTCAAAGCATTTCTTACTGTAAGTGTTTTGTGTTTTGGTATAAAATTTTTACTGATCAGTTTCATTTGTACTGATATTCAGTATACTTTCTTGCTAAGGTCACAATAAAAACTGTAATGTAAAAAAATCGGTGTCTAATTTTACGCTACTGTTCAAAAGTTTGAGGCCAGTAATTTATACTTTAATTTCACAAGGATGCATTAAATAGATCAAAAGTGACAGTTAAGACATTTAGAGCAGCATATTAGAATGATTTCTGAAGTTTCTGAGTAATGATGCTGAAAATTCAGCTTTGCATCAGTAAAATTATTGCAATTTAAAATAACTATTTAAATGTATTCATTTAAATAGTTATTTTAAATTGCAATAATTTAATAATTGTATTTTACAGTATTGCTGTTTTTACTGTATTTTCAAATAAATGTAGCCATGGTGTGCATAAGAGACTTCTTTTAAAAAACGTTTTAAAACATTTACCAACCCCAAACTTTTGAACAGTACGGTACTTTTTTTTTGTTATTCTTTTTTTAAATGATTACAAATCCAGTTATCTCTTATCGCCTCATATAGTAATGGAGGATTACCCAGAAACAGTCATATAATCTATAAATATGATTATAAAATATAGAACATAAACACAAGCATTCAGATAAGAGCTGTTTCATTAGATTAATTTTTACAAGAATTGGATTTATGAAACAAACTGACATTTATTGATTACAATGTTTATTTTGAGGTTTATTTGTATTAGGGTCTTTGGTTATTTGTATTAAACAAACTTTAGTGAGTATTTTTGAGGATCATTTTTAGATGAAGGTGTATGTGAGCCATTTTTATGAGTTCTGGTACAGCATTGCAAAGCTGACAGTGTGCAAAACTTTTTGTGAATTCTGTACATTAAGCAAGAATGTTGTAAGCCATCAATGCTGTACTGTATATGTTATGTCAGGATACATATGGAAATGCAAGATAACAGCACTTTGAAATGCATAAAAATGCAAATGAACAGCACAGTGTATGCATTTTTGGACATTAATCAAAAACTACATTTGCTACATTTTTTTCTAGCTCGCAATGCAATCCAAATAATATTGAAATTGCTGATTTTTATTTTTCATCCTTCGATTCTTTTTTGACATACCCTAAAATGAAGTTAATACATCAGTGATCACCAAATCGAGATTTTGTTTTGTTGTTGTGCTGTGATTGCACGTTAAAAGCATTGAAATGTTTGACAGATGATCACTATTTCGTTTGTACAAGTGTGTGTGCGTGTGTCCTTACATCCGTCTGTATGTATTACCAAAGCAGATTTATTTTTCCTCTAAATGTTACAAATGCTAATAATAAAAATATCTGTCTGCTCTGGATATACAATATGTATGTGGCTTTTATAGAAATTACTATATTTGTAACATGCTTTGTATACAATTTTTACAACAGAGAGAAGCATATTTTCGAGATTGTGCTCTATTGATATTTCCAGATTGCTTTGCTGTTGTGTATAAGAAATCTCCGGTGATCTGAGCTGTCAAATATTTTCTCATATATCCTCTCTTGTGCAAAATGAGTAATGTTTCTATTCTTTCATACCAAAATGCAAAGGGTAAAGGATCTGCGTCATCTGTCTTTGTGACAGATGTCTGCTTTCTTAGTTTCTGTCATAACAGTGTGATGTACTGGGATCTGATTTGAGACTTGAAAATGAGAAAGTCACACCATAGTATGATAAATCCCACTCTGAGAAGGATGAATCAATAGTCAAGGTGGTGGAGAGCCAGTGAGGGAGATGAGAAATGCTGAAAGACAGAAAGAGTTCTCACACCTTGAAAAAAGTGGTTGTTGATGGGCCATCAGATGCAGCAGGTGCATTAGAAAGAAGAAATATGCATAATTAATATCAGGGTAATAAAAAAAATGGAGTGAATACTGTCATTTCCAGGTATGCAAAGTGCATATTTCTAGATAAGTATGCCAAACAGCAAGAGCTTTCACTTATAGTTTCACATAATGCATTCATAAATATATAGTATATGCCAACGCATTGTGTTTAGAAAATGTGTGCATGTGTATATGTGTGGTGTTGATGGTTGAATGTCAGAAGGAAGTATAAGTCAGAGTCTGTACAACTTTGTCTAGTTGGGTCTCCAGGCTTCACACTGTAAGACTGAGCTGTTGACAGTTCTATCACTTATTTTTAACTTCACACTTGCATCAGTATGGACTTCATAGCGGTCACACAATTTTACCCACACCTTGGTCACTGTGTGTGGAAGTATGTGCACATATGAGTGTGTGGGTGATTTATAAATAACAAGGACATGAAGGGGTTTATCAACACTATTTTTATTTTTAATAATAATTTAAAAAATATTTCTAGATATTTTAACTTGTTAGCGTATGTTCTACACTCACCGCCCACTTTATTAGGTACACCTGTCCAACTGCTCGTT